TGGAGCAGCTAATGTTGGAGCAGCTAATGTTGGAGCAGCTAATGTTGGAGCAGCAAATGTTGGAGCAGCAAATGTTGGAGCAGCTATGGCAGAAAGCTTCATGCTAGGCCAGCAGAACAAGTGAAAAACTGCAGTGAGACAGAGACGCTCTACCTGCAGAAGATGCAAGAAAATAAACGTGATTCGGTGACTTTTCAGCATATTTCCTTTAAGGTGAAGATGAATTAAGAAAATCTGACGTTTCCTTAATTCATTCCCTCAAATTATGTGATGAGAAAGACATTGTCAAGCGATTGTCAAAGACAAAACGCTTTTATTCTGCTTTTATCCTGCAGAATAAATGCGTTCAGAACACAACCTGTCACGGCCCGCGAGGGCAGACCGTGTGGAGTGTTTGGTGGACCCAGACTTGTGCTAAGCTCAAAGCGAGCCTTTAATCAGGGCTGACACAGAAGGCAAAACAACAAACCATGAACTATGGGAATGACAAAACTAAAAACCTAAACTGGGAGTAACTAAGACTATGAACGAAGACCAGGACTGAACTATGACGAAGTACTGCGGACAGACTATGAACACGACATGAGAAACTGTGAACGAGATCTGGGTACTGGCACATGAAGGTGCAGGCAAACATGACTGGAGAACGTGACTATGAACATGTCCAATACCGAATCTTGCAGACTAGAATCATGACGTGCAGCTAGAAATAATAGTGCATGAACAGACGACGCGACACTGACACGAAGACACACTGGGCTAAAATACACCGAGGAAGTCATCAAGGAATTAGAGACAGAAGGGAACACAGCTAGAAACACTGACATAAGACAGGAACATGAACCTTCAGAGTAAAACAGGAAACAAGACCCAACTAAACAAAGACGCAGACACGACACAGAGACAGACTAGACACTGAACTAAACCTGCAATAAACATGAGAACACAAAACCTACGAACTAATCCCTGAACAAGAAGAACTGAAACATAGATTCATAATCATCAGCATCATAATAAGGAAAGAATCCAAAATGCAAAAACACACCAAAACATAGCGACTCAAAATACTGGGTCAAGCTGAGCCAGAACGGTGACACAAGCAGGCACAGCAGCAGGAGACTGAATTAAAGTACAGTTAAAGCCTTGAATGTGACTCAGCTGTACTGAAGCTGATCCTGCTCTCATGTGTACACTGTGTTCGTAGCTACAGCTGAATGGAAACATTGCTGTGTCCCTCATGTTTGCAACTGAACATGATACAAGAATGTTCCCCTGTTTTATATACTGGTCCATGACCCATCATTTAAAACAGCATCATAGGCCTGATGGTTGGAGTCGAGGAACCCAAAGCTTAGTGGAGACCTCGGGAGTATCTAAGCTTAGCATAAAGACGTTAGCGCGATTTCCTCCATGCACTGATGTGCCATAACATTAGAACTTCCTAACATTGTGCTGGTGCTCCTGTTGCATCCAGCCATGGACTCTCTGTGCTGTTGTATCTGGGAACAAGATGTTAGCAGCAGATCCACACCTCAAACTCGCTGCTGAACTGAGGTCGGTGGGCACCCTGACTGCTCTGTGCACCCCTGTACACGACAAACTGATGCACTGTGTATTCTGACATAACCAGCAACAACCTTCTTAGCAGCCTGAGCTGCAGTATCATGCACCAGTGAGCCGTCCATGACCCTGCTGGTTCACCACTGTCACTTCCACGGACCAGTTTTGATGGATACTGATCACTACAGCCCGGGAACACCCCAAACAAACAGCAGTTTGGAGATGCTCTGTCCATTCCTGCTCGTAACACATCGCCTCTGAGGACGAGACGTTCACATGCTCCCTGGTAAATCTCACCCGCTGACAGGTGCCGTGAAGAAGAAACTATTCATTCATGATGTTATAAAGTACATAATTAGTTGAAGTCTGTAGCCAACACACAGTGAACACTCGTTACTCTCTCAGTAACATGAACGACTTGATTGGACCTCTGGAAGAGTTAGTCCAGGCTTATTCACCATGCCTTCACTCCTACAGCAAACCTGCACACACACCATCATGCTGACTACCTTCCTCATCCATGGAGTCGTCTGACATGACATCATCATCAGTGATTTCCCACGCTGTAGGTAAACAGCACAGTCACAGGCTGATTGGTAAAAATCATTTGAAGCCACAAAGAGGGACGAACAGAAAGGTCCAACGTTCTCGTCTGATCTCAGTATCATCACTTTATCTGCTACATGTTACAACCAGTGTACAGTGGCTACAGAGGCCAACAAAGAAGAAAATGTGTGCAGGCTATAACGATTAAATGGATTAACTGATGGAGGTTTTCCAACTTAAATGTATGATAAATGAACTCATGGCTGCAGGACCAGAGGCTCTCTTCATTGGGGAGTGGGCTGCAGGCTCACGCTGTAGCTGCAACTTACCCTCTTCATCTGACACATCGAGTACTTCAGTCATGGTCTCTGGCACATTCAGCTTGTGTTTCTCCGTCACCGTCTGCCAGATCAAAGCAAACAGACCCCGTTAAAAACATGACAGTAAGTTTATTAGGCAAAGCCAGATAGTACAGTTTGATGCAGAGCAGTTAGCTTTGTTGTCTTAATTCAACCGTGTGGTCATTTTGAGAAAACAGATTTGTACTGATGTAATGGCACGCATCCTTTTTACTGTGTGCTCTCACATATGTGGCATCTCAGCCAGTGTTGTATTATTACGCCAAAGTGATGCGTTATAGCGGACAGATAAAGAAATGCATTGTTTTTATGAAGACTACAAAGTTATGTGAATTTCTAAATATGTACAATAAATATATGTACAATATATGTACAATATATAATAGTATACACATCCAGAAATGCATATACTATTATATATTGTACATATATTTATTAGTTTCAGATGTAGCCATTCTTGTATTTTGCTTGTTTACATTATTGTATTTTGCACAACTCTGTTGCTTGTGAAGCTCGCACACAAGAATTTCACTCACATGTGCTGTACCAATGTACCTGCACATGTGATGTGACAATAAAAGTGATTTGATTTGATTTAAATGTAAAAGATGTAGGGAGGTGTGTGTCGTGGGTAGCTTTATCCAGTTGGTCAGTCTGACGTCACTAGCCGTGTCTGGGCCTAAACTCCGCTGCAGGTCCATATATCAAACGATCACTGTGGCATTACTGAGAGTTGAAAAACTGTCTAAAGTCTTTCATCTTTAATAAAATGATCAGCGTTCTGCTCTACCAGGTGTAACAATTGAGTTTAACATCCAGGCATCCATGAAAACGGAATTTATGACATTTAACGGAGTTAGAAGCTAGCAAGCAAACACCCCGCTAACTTCTATCTAAATACAATATAGCATGTCCTGACTGCGGGGTTTTGGAAACAAATTAAAACGTACAGCTCTGCTATCACTTCCAACATAAATGAAGACAGAAAACTAAACAGCAGTGACGTTTGTAGGATTACTGAAGTTGGGCTAGCTGGTATATAATGATGTGCTACGTGACCGCTAGCGACACAGCTATGTTAGCATAATATAAACAAGCTAACTTTTTTTCCACTCGATAAAAGTTAACGTGAGTGTTCTCGGTGGTCAGGAACAAATGTAATCGCATGGCAGGATGCTGTAAAAGGACCAAACTTCATCCAGGAGAACAACTGAGATAATCCATCCACAATACGAGGTTAGTCATTCATATACTGCTGCATGGGCTGGGCTGTAGTTACATCCTAAGGTTTTAAAAACTGAGCTTAAATATATGATTAGCGGTAATAAAAGCCGAGGGAGGTCAACAGTGATCACTGACTGTTTTAGGAGCTTTTTGAGATTAAATAGAAGAAAATACATAACATTAAACATGTTAACAACACAAAAGCCATATTGGAAGTAGGATTCGTCACGTCATCACTTAACGACCGGATAGGCTCATAAAGGACAGAAGGGTCCTGACCCTGCAGGTCTGTGGAGGTTTCAGGTTTTCTGCATGAATTTCACTCACGCTGCTCGGTTTTCCTCCAGCAGGTCAAAGCCAAACCTGAGAGTTTTATCTCTCTGCCACCTGTCCAAGGTGTAGCTGGCCTATCACAGCTCGGACAGGCTCTAAGAAGTGTGCAGGTGTGTGTGACGTACCGTGGTGGTGGTGATGATCTCTTCAGTCACAACCCTCAGTGTGTCCACCACAGAAATATAACCCAGCCTGCGAGCAATCCCCAGAGCTGTGTTGCCATTCTGCACAGGAAAGCAAACCATTATACGTGTGTGTGCATGTGTGCGCATGTGTGTTAGTGCGCGTGTGCTTGCGTACCACAGTGGTAGCGTTGGGTTTGGCACCGTACTGCAGCAGCACATTAATGATGTGTGTGTTTCCTTGCTGCGCTGCCTGATGCAGGGGAGTGTATCCGTTCTGAAAGCACAGCAGAGGTGAGTCCTGTTTGTTCAGCTCTCATAAAACACTACAGCTGCTTTTCAGTACCTTAGTCTTGGCATTGACACTTGCGCCATTCTGAAGGAGGAAGTTGACCATCTTTGCGTTTCCATAGTGACATGCTACAATCAGCGGTGTGTAGCCCAACTGTGAAGCAAAAACAGATCAGTTACATTTCTTTAAGTCATGAATAACAACACCAGAAGCTGTTACTGTTATTAAAGAGAAGAAAACCCTTTTTTCAGACCTTGGTCTGCTGGTCCAGGTTGGCACCGTTTCTGGCCAAAATCTCAGCAACGGCCACTTTGTCCTCCTGAGCTGCCAAATGAAGGGCAGTCAGGCCGCTCTGCAGGAGCAACACACAGACATGCATTAACGCTGTTAGCTTACAATGCGTGATAGTGCCCTCTACCAAACTATCTGCTTTAGCCATTACTCTGCAGGATACAGAAGCAGAGGACAGGAACTGTGCACAGTATTATTCATATTTATAAAATTTCATTTATTGCATGAACCTTTTCTTTTTTACTGTTGACATTTCTAATTGTGGACACATTTTAACAGCAGCAGCTCTAAACAGGGCAAAGATGCATCACATGCTCTGGGTGAGTTTCCACAGTACCTTGGTGGGAACGTTGATTTGAGCTCCTTTGGTTATTAGCAGAGCAGCCATGTCCGCATGACCCTCCTGGGAGGCCAGATGGAGTGGAGTGACCCCCTGCTTGGTCAGGATGTTAGTCTCTGCTCCGTAACGCAGCAGCACTGTGGCGATCTCCATCTGGTTCTTTTTAGCCGCAATATGCAGAGGAGTGTAGCCGTTCTGATTGGTGCAGGACACACGCGAGAGTTGCTGGTCAGCGAATGTTGAATATCATTTTTGCTTTTAATACGACTGTTTATCAGAGAGTTTGGCAGTGAATGTATGCTGATGCTGTCACTCACTCCTCACATATGAGTCAGTCACACACGCTTTCATTAGTGTGAATGCACAGGCTGTGCTCTATTGTGGCTCAATAACACACAGACTATCCTGCTGCTTCAAATGTAATGGATTCATCAGCAGCTGAAGCAGCAAACACTCTTCCTCCTCCTGAGGGAATTTCAGATATCATTGAGGCTTCAGAGACTTTTTTGAAAGCAGTCCTTAAAAAACAGGACAGAGCTGTCGGCTGTGACGTCCCTCTGGCTCTAGCTTGTAACTAGCTGGCTAAGAACAATCCTATTATATACTACATCTGTGCTCTGTTGAATCACCTTTGCCATTGTGTGTGGTGACGCTCCTTTGTCCAACAGCAGGAGCGCCACATTCTGGTTATCATAATGTGCTGCAACGTGGAGCGAGGTGAGGCCATTCTGTAAAGTATGGAAGGATTAGACAGAAGCTTTAGAAGGTGAGATGAGTTAAAGTAACATTAGACAGCATCACCTGCTAGGCTCTTATTATGAACACAAAAATGTGCATGAAGGAGCAAAAACAAGATCCTTGATGTGAACAGGCACCTGTTAGCTTTTTGAGTCAGGGTTGGTCTAAATGAAGGGACAGCTGATGTTATTTTTTAAACCGTACCAGCATTCCTGCAGTAAACTTGTAGTTAACAGGAAATTCAATAAAATAATCACATCTCATTGTTTTACAATACATGCTATGAATTTTAAGGATAGCAAGTTTCTGTTTGGATCCATACCTTCCCAGCAGAGTCAGGAGGGGCGCGACGCTGTAGCAGAAGTTTGGCTACATCCAGGCTTCCATACTTTGCAGCCACATGCAGCGGAGTAAAACCTTTCTGTATTAGGAGACAACCCAAAAAGTGACACAAAGAACTCTGTTATAAAACACCAAGTGCAGGAACTCAGTATTCAGAAATCACAGGTTAGGCTTTAATTACAAACTTTGCACACAAAGTAAGGACATTTGTGTTTGGTGGAGGATTTCTTTGTTGCTACAGTGTTAGCAACACATCTTACTTTTATTTTCCCCTAAAATTGTGCCACATT